CAGATGGCCTCCCGCACATCTATCGACTATCAAGGCGTGCCGTGAATGCATGCAGCAATCTTCCCCCCGATGTTGTTGCTGCCGACACAGTTGCTGGGGTCAAGAAGAAATACGACGCCTTATTTGAACGGTAATCTGTACCGCTCACGGGAGTGCCCTTGCTTTGGCGGGGGGATTGGTCTAACCTGAAAAATCCCATATTTCCGGTGTCGGCAAAGAAGGGATTTCCACGGATCTGTTCCCTACACTGTATTTATGAAACATGAAACATAACCATAATCTTGAAAGCAATATATTTTTCTCAACCTCAGTCTCAATTTTGAATCAGTCTCACGGTTGCTACGCAATCTCAAAGAAGACTTAGCCTATAGCCTGCGAGACAGACGTCAATTCAGCAAAGTTACCAAAACCATACCATGGAACTGTTCCGCTATTGTAGACTTAAAAAAAGCCACTGAAACGAAAAGAAAAAGTATCATAAATTGGTTTGCAAAAAATACTATAGAGGATTCACAGATAAACCTTTGAATAATGTAATGAGCGTATAGCGCAAGGAGAACAGGACTAAATTCTTGGCAGTACGATGAAGGAATCTCTGAAAAGTTAAGACTGAATTTTATCAAAGTCACATTTATCGCACATAAAAGTAATTTGAAAGTTCCGATAACACATTATACATAACATCACTAAATTAGTGGTCTACATGACCAATAAGACACTTAATACGTACAGAATGTACACTTAGCATTTCAATTTTGACAACACAACGATGCGTAAAATGTTTCAACATGTTTTAACGGAAACTGGCCTATGCATCTTATATTATTAAGAGCTAATTTTGCTGAGATAAGAACGCGTGTGGTAACGTGATGGTTTTGTTACCTTTTTGACTTTTTTCTTATCGTCTGTTAAAGTAGGATTATGGTAAAGTTTTCCAGGCTGTCATCTTGCGTTCAAGTGTTGTTTAGATTGCAAGACTACCGGTGTAGAATGCTCAGGTAGGGTATAGATGACCACACCAATGAAAGTAAACAGCCAATTACACCTTATTCTTTTATTCATCCTGTTCCTTCGAATGAGTTCACATCGTGCTGTTGCTCTAAGTCTTTGATTTTAGTTTACTTTAAATTCATAGAATTAAGGAACCACAAACGTTGACTTTAGCCCCTTTAGTCTGCCTCTCTAAGTCAGTAAACGTCATGATCTTATCTTCTTTTTAGCAAGCAAGTTGGTACTACGGTGGCAAGCAAATAAGCATTGGTGGAAAACTGTTGGAACCGATCAGAATTGGACTCTATGGCATGCCAAAGTATCAAGCCGTCTTCCTTCCAGGGAGGCCCGACTACGCACCCACAATGCCAGGGACTAATGTGGATCAACTACGAACCTATCAGCTACGCGTTCGGTTTGCAGACATAAACGATAACGGTCTTTATCGATGTGTTATCGAAATAAGTAAGTTAAAATTGACATGGCCCTATTTTTATATTGAAATATTAAAATTCCTATAAATCGGTGCAAGCTGCTCTTTTCTATGCGTCTCCTTACAAGAGAAACTAGCTAGCGGCTTTAACAATTAGAAAATTAATACAAACAGAGCTAAAACGTTCTGCGGATATGGCCAGGTCAGGTGCGAAAGTTAGTGATTACGGAGGACCCAATTTCTAAAACCGCGGAACGGAAATTAATTTCTCAGGAAATTAAAAAGCTGAACTTTTAAAACGGGTGTATCAACCGGAAAGCAGACAAGGAAAGCTGGAAGAACCCGCTGATGATCCGGACTCCTCGCAGCTGTGTCAAGCAGCGGCAGAATACCGGCAAAACACGTGTCTGGGTCTTTTAGCTAATACCTAGGCTGTTAGTATGGTAAGTAACAACATCCATTTAACCTGTTTATCATTGGTCAAACGAATGGAGATATATCAGTGGCAAAATCCCCCTGACTGGAAGTGAAATATGTCAAACAAGAAAAAGAGATCAACAGTTATTGTCCTTTAAAATGTATAAGTAAGGCGCTCAGTAGCTTATTTTAAATACCGAATGGAAATAAGCATTTCAATTTGGTCTCAGCTTTTCGGGTCTTTCGTAAACGGCTTCAGTTCTCAGATACAGTCGCAGTGTTTTAAACTCTGGACTGAAATATTAAACAATTTATACCACAAAAAGCTTCATATGGAGATAATATTCATCATTTGTCCCAAGACTGATTTTTCTTTACCTTCCTTCTATGCTCATTTTCCGTATTCAAATATGGCAGAAATTTAAAGGTTATCTAAATACTCATTTCTAATTGTACAGTATTCTCCATAGAGATTTTGCTGAAAAACTTAGGATCACGGTAAACAATCCGATCCAAATACACGCCGCCCCTTTAAACTGCAAGTTCACGACGAAACGGTAAGTTATTATAGCTACAATAAGAATATAAGTAATACTGCAATAGCCCTACTAAATGCGCAGAAAGGGTATACTGGTAAACGTAGCAAATGCAAAGCATTCAAAAGTGCTGTCTCATGACTACGTTAACGTAGCCCTAGGCTCAACGCCAGACGGTTACTTCTATTTAAGGACTGCATGAAGCACAAGGCTTAGCATGCGAGCACCATTTTGACCGAAAATGTTGAACAGTTGCATTAAAAGCATGTTTCTGCCCTAAAGCCCTATTTCATTTTCTTTTGCAACCTTTCAG